CCTTAAAAGATCTCAGGATACAAGAGGCCTTTTTAAAAACTGAACAGTACAATACTTCTATTTTTCCTCTCATCATTGATCAAAAATGACAGGGGATTTGCTTGTTGTCTTCTATAAACTATTGTTTATCTGCAGTCTATTCTGCATCCTACAAGAGCACGTGAATAGGTTTATCTCACTACTCCTGATCTGGTAATTTGTGAAGTTCAGCAAGAAAACCATGCTAGTCCAGTAGAATATCTCTTTATGTTTGAAGAACAAGGCTCCAGTCCATAATAGAAGAAATATATCAAGTCTGAATATTATTTTTTAAAAATAGGGATATACAGCTTTATATTATTTAAGTACTGAAATCATAACATGCCTAATAATAAAAAAGAGCTTGTTTCAATTGTCCTAGCAAAAGTATAGCATTGTGGTCAAGGGTAATATTGTTATAGAGATTGGTTTAGTTACCTATGCCATGTTGATATTATTTATAACTAAAATATATAACTAAATAATATTATTTATTATGTTGATATTATTTATAACTTTATTCTAAATAATCAAAGCCCCTGTCCCACAGTCAAGTTTTAACTTCAGTGGTCTTCAAAGAATCTACATTCTTTCACTATCTTCCACCACTTCATTGCACTTCTAGTATATCTTTTTATTTATTTTATTTTCTTCTCTTCTTTTCTTTTCTCTGGTTGTTATAATTATCATCTATACTAGATTAATTGTATAAATTGGTAAGAAGTAAGACTGACCTTTATGCAAGACATTAAAATAAAGGGTGTTGTATCCTTGAAGCACTATAAATCAAAGGTAAAGACAGGTTCAGATTTGACTAGCTCATAGGTATATTTGCAAATTTAAACTAAATGTTTCTAGGACTGGTTACATGATAGATCTCACTCTCTCTTGCTGTCTTGTGTGTTTTGTGTGCCTGTGTAGTTTTAGATGGTACTTTTATTTATTTAGCAATTTAGCATGGACTACAAAACTAGTGCTGCAGTGAGAAGCTTAATGCAAATTGCTACTCAGTAAATCCTCTCCAAGGGTGCTATATCTTTACCAGCAAATCTCAACTGCATTAGTTAATACTTAAATGCTAGTTTTTTTCCTTGTATAAGAAAAAAGAAACAGACACACAAATGTTCTAAAAATTCACAGGCTTCTACAAAAAAACCCAACATAAATGATTTTGGATCCTTGTGCTTTACTTCTCCTCAGAATTAGACCTTATAATTAGAAAACTTTCTTCAAAAGTTATCTTCAAAAGTTATCTTTTCTGAAATGAATTGATTCTGAAAGCATTTTCCTAACCCAAGTATAAAAGTAATTTCTGCTTAATGGTGCCACAAAAATTATCTCTAGGATTTACAGTTAGTTGCAACTTCAACTACAGAATTCATAGTTACACTAGACTTACAGTAAAATGTTTTGCTGGCTTACAAATTCCGCATAAATAACTTCACAATTATTTTGCACTTTTGCAGTGTAAAAGAAAATCAGAAAACAGAAGAAACAAACATAAACTAAAAATACATTGTGCTCAGATGCATGTGTGAAAAATATGCATACATTATTTTCCTCCACTTTTTTCTCTGTTCTCAGCATAAACAGTCTAAGATAGAAACTGAGAATTAATGAATTTCATAACTTCCTTATCTGGTCAAAATAATCTCATAAGAATTCCTTTTCATGCATAAATGAATAGGATCATTCATAAAGATCAAGATTAGACTATTGTGCACTGGTCTGAGCTGATGATATGTTATAAAAGATTCTTTCTTTCAAAATTTTAATACTGTAGACATTTAAGCTTCATAGCACACCTACAGGCATATGCGTTGGATACTATGTTTGTTAAGTTATTTGTTCAATTCTCTCTCAGGAGTTCTCCTGCTAATGGATAAACCATTGTTCCTTCTACTCCAATAATAGATGTTACAGTTTACACTCCCAGAGATCAAGTGAGACATTCAAACTAACAGTCTGGAATGTTTATTTATTTATTTTTATTTATTTATTTATTTGATTTGCCAATTGTTTACAAGATAATAAGTATAAGTGTATACATAGTTGTGAATACATGAAATGGGTACATATAAGAAAAATAAAAGAAGAATAAGAGAAACAATAGGACAGGGACGGTAGGCACGTTGGTGCGCTTATGCACGCCCCCATAATATATATAATATATATTATAATATATATATATATAATATATATGTCCATAATAGCTTTGAGAAATGATGAGGATTTTGGAAAAAATTGTGTTTTTGCCAATGTTACTTAACTTACGACATGTTATTTTCTTCTTTTTCAATAAACTTTTATTATTACTGCTTTCTTAAAGAGATGTACTCCTAGCCAAGAAATCTGATCAGCATAAATGCCTTTTATAAAGTTTTATCTTTTAAATATACCCCATGTAATCTATCCTTTATAGTATAAGCTTTATGTACTTGGCATACCAAATGGTAACTAATTCATTTAAAACAAAAGTTACATAAAGTTTGTTTATATAATTACTTGCCTTTTGAACAATTAGGCAATTAGGCAGTATTTTATCATATTTCTAAGCCTCTGAAAGGGTAATGAGGCACGCCTGAAAAATTGGGAATTTAATTGAAAAATAATAGGCTTTTCTACATAAACTCTTCTTTATAATAATTCCTTGTTTTTCTATATTATTTTAGGGAATTTCACCCTAAAATCCTTCCCATGTAAAAGGCAGGTTGGTAACAAAACTATCTATAATTCTCTTTTTGTATGAGACTACCAACAGTGTGTGGTGGAATGGGAGAATGCATGTCTTGCTGGGCAAGATAATCTAAAGCAGAGGTGTCAAAACTCACGTCATCACAACGGCATCATGTCATATTGGGACTATAATAAACAAAACACCTGAAATCTAATTTTCCATGAAGGTGAAGTTAAGAAAAAAACTAAGTTTGGATGTTATAAATAAAGTCCATTGAACAATTTCAAATTAGAATTGAATTCTACATTGAATTTACTTTTAAGATACATCAAACCTACACTTCCAAGAAAAGAACCTTCTCAATAAAAAGCATTTAATATCCTGGCAGCAATTAACATGTATGCAAGCTAATACAATTCAGGTGGTCCTCTACTTATAAATTGAGCCTAAAATTGATGTGAATTTAGGTGAATTTTGTCCCATTTTATGACCTTTCTTGCCGCACTTGTTAAGTGAATCATTGATGTTGTTATGTTAATGACACAATTGTTAAATGAATCTGGCTTCCCCATTGACTCTGCTTTGAAAAAAGGTGATTACATGATCCTGGGACACTGCAACTGTCATAAATATGAGTCAGTTGCCAAAAGTCTGAATGTTGATCATCAGGATCCTGCAATGGTAAGTTGGTCATAGGTCATTGTAACTTTGAATGGTAGCTAAAAGAATTGTTGTAAGTTGAGGACTGCCTGCATACTGTGGGGGAAAAATGCATGGTTTAGTAAAATTTAATAAAAATATTTAAGTTATAATGAGAATTTAACTTTCAAAATTTGTTTCATTATATGAATTATTTTTCAAAATTGCTCATCCTTACAACAGTGCCATCGTGCATAAAAATGACTTCATCTGCTCATTATATTTCCAATTTTTTTAAAAAAATGAATTATCCAATTAATTATCAGTAATACGGAATAATTTAGAAAGAAAACATCCTTACCAATTTACTGTTAGAATGATATTTACAGCAAATATAGTATTCTAATTCAATTGAAATTTCCATTTTTGCATCTCTCTTACTGCATTCAATCAATCTTTTTCAAAACTGCAACATGATATGTAATTTCAAATTATCAAAGGATTTTTCTGCATCAAGAAAAATAATAATTTCAAAACTTTTTAAATTTAATTTAATTTTTTTTTTATCTTGCTGAGAATATTGAAATTTGTCTAAATTATTTATCATGTACATCTTCAGGACAAATCAACCATAACAATACAAGAGCACACAATAGATACAAACTCAAGGTTAACTGCACCAAACTTGATTGCAGGAAATACGACTTCAGCAATAGAGTGGTCAATGTCTGGAACACTCTACCTGACTATGTGGTTTCTTCCCCAAACCCCAAAAACTTTAACCTTAAAAATATTTACAATACTTAAATCAAAATAATAATTGTATGGCAAAATAATAATGATAATGTAGTATGCAATAATATTTATTTGGTCAACGACCAGCAAAATTAAACATACAAAGCCACAATAAAAGCAAATGAGTGAGATAAGGTACTAACAAAACAATAAGTTGGAGTCTCCATAATAAAAGTATAACTTATGATACTATAATAATATGTTAATGAATTGTGTATTTATTATTTGCTTCAGAATTAGTATTGGAGATAAAGAGCACAAGAAGATTACATTTTCTGCTATCTATTTTAATACTTTTTTCCCCAGTACAAATTTATAGCCACTAAATCTGGAGAAAGATGGATGTGAGATTAGGCTTTAAACCACAGGAGATAGGTGTGCCATGAATTTATTCACAAATAGAATGACATATTTTGATATACAACAGTCCATGAAGGGCTTTACTTTCTGCATTTCTGTCACTAAAATTGAGTTGGAAGAAGAGATATTGGTAACAATGTAGTCAAATTCTATTATTAGTAAAATTTAATCAGCTATAATAGAACACATGCAAAACTAAGCATAAACAACCACAGGTATAGATCCCACTTCCCTAAAGATGAACATCAAATGTTTAAGGAATGCAGTTGCAAAAAGAAGCAAATAGTCATCATTCCACATGGAATGATAAGGCAACAATATATATGCATAAAACAACAGAAAAACTTCAAATCTCATAAAAGTAATCTACGAATAAAAGCTGGGCCAACAGATATCAAGAAATTACATACAATATATCCATTATTCTAATGGAGCATGCTATCACACAACTTTCATTGGAAAATACATGTATTTAATGCATGCATGTTAAAGATATAACTTATTTACTTACATCTGAATTAAATCTCAATTGGCATATGTTGCAAGGTATGATTTGTTTTCTTCTGTGAGGAAGAGGAACCCCAAATGTATGATTTATTACAGCTTTTTGAATTGGATCCATCTGCAATAAGAAGGGGAAAAAGTTGTTTTCTAGGCATTAAGCTACCACGGTGAACAAGATTAAATTAAATTTGTGCACTTCCCAAATATAGGGCCTATACTTTTTGAATATGTTTGCACAAAGATAGGTATGCATATGCCTATGCATGTGTGTTTATACCTGTGTTTGAATGTACCAATGAAGAGTGAGAAGGGAAGAATAAATGAAGAGAGTATGAATCAAGAAGAAGACTAAGACAATTGAAGTTAGATGGAATTGAGATCCTCAGAAACAGAGTTAAAACATTAAAGGTTAAAAACAAAAGATGGGGTAGAAGGAAAGACAATTTATAACTATAGAAAAGTACAAACTATTGGGTAAATGATCTTGTTGTGAACTAAGTCTAGTTTTAGTTTGATTTCCTTAGTCTTTAACGCCTTTCTTAAATTTTCTTTGCCAACTACTCATTTTTTTCAGTCCTTTGTATAATTGCTGGTATATCAATTATACCAATTACCACATCAAATCCTATAGATACTGTATATGTTGGGAACACTGTCTTAACTTTTACCTAGGACATTAATGGATGAGAAACCATTCCTGGAAGAAAGCTCTAAGAAAAACAGTAATATTCTAACATAATTCCAACATTTTCATTTGTCTACCATGATTTTATTAAATGTTGCAATTGATGGAGTTATATTTGGAAAAATAATTCTGTCTTGTTAAATCAAAGTGAATTTGTCAAAGTAGAAATATCCACATCAAATCCACTTTTCTTGATCACTTTGGTTAACATGCGGATCTGTTTATATAAAGATCCAAACATCCTATTGAATAGATATCAGCCGCCAAAATAAAAAATTTTTAAAAAAAAAGGAGAGGTAGGATAAAAGTTTGAAATTAAATATCCAGAAAAATTAGAATATACAAAGAAGGCATGAGCAAATTTAGTCTCAAAGGAAAAATTCCTATTGTGAAAAAAAAAATGATATGAATACAGACATGCAGTTTCCTCAAGTCTTTTGGTTTCTGTTGATTTTGACTGGATCCCGAACACTCTTCGTAGGAAAAGAAGATCACAGAAGGACTCTAGTTACACAGAAAAATTATCAAAGCAAAGAGCTTTTGTAATTTAATACAAGAAAAAACAAAATAGAACAATCAAGACTCCACCTACAGATTAGGATGAACTTAACATAAACAAAGTTATGAGATCTGTTTCTCTCAGCTTTACTGTTCTAATCAGACTGCTACAGACTAATTTGTTTAGATAGGAAGGAATATCTTATTTTTCTCTTGCCTTACAGAGTGATGCAGATATGTTGTGAATGCTGATTTACAGCTAGCAATCATATTTAAGAAAAGAGAGGAAATTGATCTTAGGAAGTTAAACATTGTTCACTTAAGTCCTGGATGGGAAAAAAAGATGCCATATGGTTGATTTCAAAGTACAGGATGAACTTCTCTGATTTTCAGGTTGTCTTAAAGGCATCTAAGAATAAGATACAATAGGATCAATCAATCAAATTAGATCTGGACAGGACCTTCTATGGCTTCTAGTCAAAGAAGCAAGCAAACAAACAAAAACACTAGTCCTAGTGATTCTAGTTGTGGTGGAGCTAATGACTCCAATCTAATTAAGGTATTTTCAGCAAGCCCTTGGATGCCTTGCTTCAGTGGTGATATTCAGCCAGTTCACACCGGTTCAGGTAAACCAGTAGCGGCAATTTGGCTGGGTCACCAAACTGGTAGTGACTTCTGGCTGGCCACGCCCCCACACCCAGTCGCCCATTGCCACTCACTCACCCCTTCCATCTGCTTGACACTCACCCCACCACACCACCCTATATCTGTTGCTTTCCACCTCGCCAGTCGCCTCACCGATGCCCAGTGAGCTCAACTCACCAAAGGTAAGCAATGCATGCTGCCCATTCGGCCTTCACCTTGGGTTGGGAGCCGGGGCCCCAGGGATGCACCATTCCCTGAGGCCCCAGAACTGCTGCCCGCCTTGACCAGATTGGGGAATGTGCCATTCCCTGACTCTGGCCTTGCCCCAGAGTTGCTGGCCATTCGCTCTCTCTTAAGCATGACACATTGCCCCATTTCCCCTCCTTCAGAGGCCCTAGCCCTTAATCTCCCCAGTTCATCTTATCACAATGACCTTACCTTCCTCCCACGGCTGACTGCCAGGGAAGAGAGACATCATTGCCACTGGGCTCCCCACCAGCCCGCATCTCGCACCCCTTGTTGCAAGATGCCTGTAGCTGCCGTGTGGTTTTTTGGTATAGCCGCACTGAAGTTCAGCCGCACACACACAAAAAGACGCAGTGGCTGCAGGCTTCTCTCAGCGAAAAGTACCAATCTCCAGCCTTTGGCTATGCTCCACTTCTCCAACATGCCACTGCTGCCCTTTTCTATGTGCCAGCCATGCAGGCACACCCCATTGCCTACTGCCACTTCACCTAGAGACTCGCCCAGGCAAGTCCGAGCAGAGCAGCATAGCAGGCAATGGGGTGCACCTGCACAGCTGGTGCATAAAACAGGGTAGCAGTGTATTGGAGAAGTGGAGCAGAGCTGGAGGTCAGTAATTTTCGCTGTAAGAAGCCTGCAGATGCCTTGTCTTTTTTCAGTGTGGCTGGACTCCGCCCCACCCCTGTGTGGGAAACCACATCCCTACCTATTCAGGCTAATCCTGGAGCAAAAATGCCCCCACAAGAGGCTTGCCTGAGGCCCAGGAGGGAAAAAAACAAAGCGTGGGGAGGTACTGCACGAAGAACGAGGAGG